CCACTGGGAAATATACGTCCCAGCCACATTGTGAAGGGGTGGGAGCACTGGGAAATATACGTCCCAGTCACATTGTGAAGGGGTGGGAGCACTGGGAAATATACGTCCCAGTCACATTGTGAAGGAGTAGGAGCACCGGGAAATATACATTCCAGTCACATCGTGAAAGAAATAATTTCAGTTGAATATTCTTTTGAATGATTGTTTCACGTAAAATAATGTACCGTAGTTTATCCTGTATAATAGTCCATAAAATCTAACATGTATACGTACTATTTTCGATTTCCGTCACATTTAACGTGCCAGGATTAAAAGGAGAGTTCTGATGAATTATATACATCGTGAAATGTTGAATAATAACAACCTGCTGCTACTGTTCTACAGTCAAAACACTATTGATTTAAAACTTACTTTGGTAATGCAGCTAGGGAAATTTTAACCTACCATTACGTAACTCTGATGTTTAAATTTGCTTCTATTGCAGAATTCTTCCTGGTACCCATGACAATGTAGCTCTTTGTTTGAACTACAAATCTGATAATTTATGTAACAATATGTTGTAACCTGGTACCCATGACAATATAGCTCTTTGTTTAAACTACAAATCTGATAATTTGTGTAACAATACGTTGTAACCTGGTACCCATGACAATGTAGCTCTTTGTTTAAACTACAAATCTGATAATTTATGTAACAATATGTTGTAACCTGGTACCCATGACAATATAGCTCTTTGTTTAAACTACAAATCTGATAATTTATATAACAATATGTTATAACCTGGTACCCATGACAATGTAGCTCTTTGTTTAAACTACAAATCTGATAATTTATGTAACAATATGTTGTGACCTGGTACCCAAGACAATGTAGCTCTTTGTTTGAACTACAAATCTGATAATTTATACAACAATATGTTGTAACCTGGTACCCATGACAATATAGCTCTTTGTTTGAACTACAAATCTGATAATTTATGTAACAATATACTTAATCCTCTTTCACTGTGGCACAAAAATACAAACTTATGTTTGTCAGCACATTACATACCTCTGGTTTCAATTGTATGTTATGTTTGTCAGCACATTACATACCTCTGGTTTCAATTCTAACTTATGTTTGTCAGCACATTACATACCTCTGGTTTCAATACTGAGGTATGTAATGTGCTGACAAACATAAGATAGAATTGAAACCAGAGGTATGTAATGTGCTGACAAACATAAGATAGAATTGAAACCAAAGGTATGTAATGTGCTCACAAACATAAGTTAGAATTGAAACCAGAGGTATGTAATGTGCTGACAAACATAAGTTAGAATTGAAACCAGAGGTATGTAATGTGCTGACAAACTTAAGTTAGAATTGAAACCAGAGGTATGTAATGTGCTGACAAACATAAGTTTGGTTTCAATACTATCTTATGTTTGTCAGCACATTACATACCTCTGGTTTCAATTCTATCTTATGTTTGTCAGCACATTACATACCTCTGGTTTCAGTTCTATCTTATGTTTGTCAGCACATTACATACCTCTGGTTTCAATACTATCTAAAATTGCTCATTTTACTTATGAATGCCATACCTTTTTCCTCTTTATAGAACCTGTTTCACATTATCACTGAAACCTACTCCATGTATAATATTCACACCAATATACACATCGTGTGTAACCCTAACACGGAACTAACCGAGCAGCTTTCTTTTACTTTTTTTTTATACATTCCATTCAAAGCTTCTACTGTCATACAAGTCTACCTGTTACATACCATTACAGAGTGACATCTTTCACACCGAGTTTGCATTATACGTTCATTTGACAACTCATCAATACCATGAAACTTTTCTAGAGATGTACAGGGATTTTTACTGTATCAAAATAGTTGTGTTTTGGCATTTATAGACAAACAATTTTTGGTGGGAATAATAACACAATTATTGTCAATAAGCAACAAAACTAGGATGCTGTATTAATATTCAGTTTTACAAATAACTTGTGAATACCTCCACTGTTTTTTCCACGATCATAGACTTCAAAAAGTATTTCAGCCGATGAATTTTTCAAATTGCTGCAAGATAAACAGAAAAGCATCGTCAAACATGAACAGCCTAAACCTTTTTTAACTTGTGTTATCTTTAATATCCAAATATACATTAAAGTTAGAAATAAACAATGGTAAAATTACTATAGCATTAGTTGACTATAGGCAGTTAAGTCTCATAACAAATAATATTGCTTATTACTTATACACAACATAATTGCAATGTGCACACACAAATCAATTGCATTTAGCATGTGAAGCAAAAATACTGATACTTTACATGCAACATATATGTCAGTGGTGTAAAACTGATAACTTACTATATGCACAAACTTAATTATGTTTACACTTCTGACATTTTCTTCTGCCAAGCTTATTTATACATAGGATGATTTTAAATGATAACTCTGGTGATATTTCTTGTTTGACATCATTTTATAACATACATTTTTCATTGATTAAGCACCATTTCTAGGCATGAAAACTAGGGACAAGGGGAGACAACTTCAATGAAAATAAAAGAACTTACGTGATCATTAAAAACATGACACAATTTTTCAAAGCAAGAATATTTTAAACGTTTAATAGTGTATTACACTTAGGAGATCAGCTGATAAACAAAAATGAAGGGAATAAATACACTAAAAAAAAACATACTGACCACTACGATTGGATAAACTGTACAGTATCCAAAAAATCTTACAGATTCAATATTTGATTTAATGTAATTTTAACTTTTATTCAATAAAGAAATTAAAGTTTTTAACACCAGCGACAGAGTGAATTCAATGTGAAAAAATCTGTTTAAATAAGATAAAATGATAACAATAACTATGGTTGAATTTTTATGTTATTGTTCACCAATTTTTGCCTACTTATATTATTTTAAACATGGTGTTATTATTACACAATGCAATGATCTGTAGGTATCTAACAAAATATTTTAAGAAAACCTGCAAAAAAAGTGAAATACATGTACAATGACAATTTTATTTTTCATTTGCACATTGTTTTTTTTTTATTTCAACATGACTTACTATTAAAAACTATTTAAGTTAATTGTTCGCCAATTTTTTTTCTTTTTCTTATGATTACTATATTTTATTTGGCACAGTAATTTCTGGGTTAGTTTCAAATTTGTTTAGTTTCATATTTTGTTGTATCCGAGACCCTTGTCAAGCCTATGTGAGGTTATGTCAAAGCCACACACTCAAAACAGTTTACTGTATACGTACTCTTACCTTTCCTCTGAATTAAAATTAATTTTTTTATATTTATATACACAACAGATTATTATTAATTTCCTTTAAAAAAATATTTTTGACAGATATGCTAAACCTTTTCAAAAACATTAGATGTTTAATAAGCAATCTCTGACTCAGCCAGTTATCTCCTGATTCTGTTGTATTTCCTGCAACTTTGTCAGAATACAGCTTATTTTATAACAAATCAAATGGTTTGGGGCAATAATAAAAGAGAAAATTACTTACAAAGATACAGTCGCTGTTGAGAGGTTAATGGTGCAATGTTTCACCAAAAGTTCACTTTTAGACCATCAGTTGGCCTACTGCAATTTCAATGAGAACACACTACTTTTCTTCAAAAAATGCTTATACTAGTCATTAGAAACTCTGTACAAATGTCAGAAGCATCACTTTCAAAGCTGACATTCAAGTACAAGATTGCAAATGATTGGAATGTTACCAGTGCACCAGATGTCTTGCAAAGGTGACAATACAAATAACTGCCAGAAGTGAAGAGTATCATGAATAGACATGATACTACATGTATAGTACCTAGTATTCTGAAGAAGGTTTAAAAAAATCCCCAATCATGATAAGAGGAGTTTGAGGGACGATGACGGTTGAGGGGTAATAAAATGCTTGACTGACCAAACCCTGCCCTTCCCAGTAATTTATTTATGCTTTTTTACAATCTTAGGTAACTACTGTAATTTTCTCTGGGCAGGTCAGAAATTGCTTGTTAATAATAACATTTAAAATATTTCATTAACTCATCATTTGTAATTTAAAAACAGAGAATTAAAAAAAATCACACTGCTCAGTCAAAACTATACTAGCCAAATTATTCTATACATTCAGATCCTTAATTAAATATTATTGCCAATTAAGTGAGAAATAAGTTAATTATTTGAAAATTTATTAGTCAATACATTTCAATAACATCTTTTAAAATTAATAATTAATTAATTAATTAATTAACTGCAAGTCATATATATTCTAAAAATATAATAGTAATAACCTTACAAAAGAAAATGTTCATCCCAAAATGGATTGTTTGTGTTCTTTACAACTGTTGTCTGAAACCTCTGTGACGGCTCATCCATCTCAACAACACAGAAAGGCTCTTGACAACCTAGGTGTGTAACAGGAAGGTTAAACACATTTAAATCTAATTTTAAATTATCCAAGAAAATATCACGTATAGTACACATCTTCTGTAATTAACACGAAAGTATCATTATAAAATTTTTTAAATATTCTAAAACATTAGTCACTTATATTAACATTTACAGATTTCAAAGTTAATGAAATTTAGTTTCAACGTAGTTATAAAAACGAGAAGATATGATGTTAGAAAACAAAGTAGGTGTATCTATATATAACATACGAGTACATATAACATATATATAACAGTACAAAAATATCATATACAATTATCATTTCCCATTCAAATTGTTTGTTTTCTTTCAGATTAGGAGAACTTCACATCATCTACTTTTAGGTGATGTTTTCAGCAATAAATTAAATATGTGTAGGAATTTTCACCCTTGTGAAGAATCGTGTTATAAACAAATGAAGTGATTTTACCTTTTTTAGAACCAAGATTATTGGCTTTAATTACTTTCACTAGTAATCGCTGCTCGTGTCTTGTTGATAAACTATTGTATGGCTGAAAACAATAATAGAAACTATTGTATGGCTGAAAACAATAATATAAACTATTGTATGGCTGAAAACAATAATATAAACTATTGTATGGCTGAAAACAATAATAGAAACTATAATAGAAACAATAATACAAGCTATTCTATGGCTGAAAACAATAATATAAACCATTGTATGGCTGAAAACAATAATATAAACTATTGTATGGCTGAAAACAATAATAGAAACTATAATAGAAACAATAATACAAG